TCGCCCCCGTGACCTCCACCTGCCTCGCCTCCCCCTCGCGCGATCTCCTCTCTTCCGCCGAAGACCCCCGATCGCCTCCCTCTTCCTCACGCTGAAGAAGCTCCGCTCTACAAATCTCGCTCGCCCCACGCGACCAAACTCTCGCCTCTATAACTTCGTGAATCGCGATCTTCTTCCTCACCTGATTTGCCTCCCCTCTTGCGAACTCCCCTCTGCACTGAACCAGTCACCTGCTTCGCCTCTCCCGTCGGCTCTCCTACCCGTGCCCGAGACCTTCGTCGCCTTTTTTGTTTAGGCTTCACCCCCGATCGAAACCCAGCCAAGCACTCGCGATTCGAGTTAGCCAGGAAAGCGACCACGAGATCGCCCTGTGTAAGGCCTTCGAACTAAAATCGTTACAATTGCAGGTATGTTTCCTTAACTCCCTTTTCCTTTCATCTTTTTTATTTTCAATAAAAAAAAAGAAATCTGCTGTCATTGATTATTGAGTGTATACCCTGAATCAATCAGTTCTTCTTTCTCAGCATAAGACAATTTTATCTGCTCTTCTATTGAAGTACAATATGGTTCTTCATTCTAGAAAAGCTTTGTTCTAAATTATGTAATTTAAGGAGTCTTTTGTGATTTACTTTGACTGGACAAATATAACATGGATAAAAAATGATTCTAGTCATATTAATGCAACTAGTAGCAAATGTTTACTGCATTCCATCGGACAAGCGTCGAATCATTATTGTATATTCATGTGTTTGGCATCGATCTTTGGAGAACTATAAATGATGTTTTGGTCATGCATTTTTTTACTGATTTTTGGAGAAATATAAACAATATGATTGCTGATTTTAAATGTTTAGTTGAAATGCAAATATTGTGAGGTTCCAATAATCATTTACTTGCTGATTTTAAATGCTCTGTTGTTGGTTTATGTTTCAAGCCCTTAAATGCAATATTGTGAGGTTACAATGACCATTTACTTGCTGATTTTAAATACTCCGTTGCTGGTTTTATGTTTCAAACACTTAAATGCAAACATTGTGAGATTCCAATGACCATTTATTTGTTGATCTTAAATAATCATTTGTTGATTTCGTGTTTCGAGCACTCAAAAGGGAATACTATGAGGCTCGAGATGATCATTATTCCAGGGCTTGAATGCTTCTTTGCGGGTCTATGTTCTTTCATTTCCGAATGCCTCTATTTCCGAATGCCTCCCTTGGGACCTATTTTACCTGTTGTTTGGTGGGTTTAAACATTACGAGTTTTAGGGCTTTGTCTACTGATTCGCGTACTATTTTAGAGGCAATTTGTTAACTGATTTTAGAGAGTTTACACACTATTTTTGGACTGGATTTCCTAGCTGATTTTGGGACATTTAAAATTGATGTTTTGAGCTTACATGAGAGTTGTTTGGGAATTTTAAAAATTACTGTTTTATGGCTGATTTTGAGAACTTTGTCTACTATTTTAGAGGCATTAAACCCATCATTTGCGGGGTTGTTTTGATCGCTGATTGAGACATTTTTATGGGCTGATTTTGAGGCAATCTACGCACTGTTTTTTGCGAGATTTATGTAGCCTTTAAACATTGATTTATGCACGGTTTAGAGTTGGATTTAAGAAGCTCTTTTGCCCACAGTCTTGAGTATCATTTGATTATTATTTAAACACTTTTAGGCCGATTCACTTGCTTTTTTTTGCCTCTTTGGCTTTACTAGTTTTGAAAGTGGTTCGGTCTCCTTCTTTTGTTTTATGTATTTTTAAATGATCAAGTCAAAAAAATGGGAATTCCTTATTTAATTATTTGGAAGACACTTAGAAATATTTGAGAATTAGTTAGAAAAAACATTTAATTGGGGGGTATAACACTTTAAATTACCTTAAACATAAGTTAAAGAGTAGGCTTCCTAGAGTCTTAAGAGCACACCCTAGGTGAGAGTCCATTCACCTAGTCCTCAGTGTAGACCTCCTAGACTTTAGGTGCATACCCTAGGTGAGAGCCCATCCACTTAGTCCTCAGTGTAGGTTTCCTAGAGCTTTGGAGCACGCTCTAGGTGAGAGCTTATCTATCTAATTCTCAGCATAGGCTTCCTAGATTTTAGGAGCACACCCTAGGTGAG